CCCAAAAGCTGGCCGACGGCGGTTGAGAGGGATATGGTCGAGGACATCCTCGTCTGATTCATCAATCAGACGAGTAGGTTGGCAGGAGGAGAGGATGTGGCACAATCGGAAGGGCGAAAAACACTGAGAGTAGGATTGTAGATCTCTTTAACAGAACGGGAAGGCGAGTGAGAAATAGGCCGATGAGTGGAAAATGATGAAGTGGCGATCTCATCTTCAACAGAATGATGGCTTGGTGCGTTAGAATCAGCGGAATCTGAAAAGTAGAGCCAAAAATTGAGAGGAAAAGAAAAGGAGTTAGGGTTTTTGAAAGTAAAGAAAGAGGTTTTTGCCACAGGCGAGACGAGAGGGATTTTGGGAAAAGAAGAAGCAACAGGGAAAATCAAAAAATTAACAAAATAAATGCACGTAAATATAAAATTAAAGCATAGAAGACTTACTCATGGTTGCAGTATGGTTGCCGGAAACTGCTTGAAAAGACGCCGAGAGCATAAAAGAACAATTTGCAGAGGAAGAAATCAGAGCGCGAGGGAGTTCGAAATTGCAAAGGTGAGAAAAGCCAAAAAATTGGCTAAGTGCCGTATTTATAGGAGTACAGATGAATAAGGTGAAGAGTTAAGGGAGATGACCGTTAGATAAAAGAAGATCCAACGGTGGGAAAACTTAAAGAGGCACAGATAGCGAAGCGGCACAAATCGCGAGGAGGCGCGATGATTAAAGAAACTGAGCGGAAAGGACATATGGCAGGCGGAAAGTACGCTAGTAATACAAGAAAATAAAAGATAATTAAAAGCGCACCATAAAGTGATCACGTGGTCGAAGAATGGTGGCGGCCTCGACGGAAGAGATAGGAAGAGGAGATCAGATGTAAGCAGAAGATCGAGAGGATGGTAGAACGGAGAAGACAGCCTGAATTCACTCTTAGATCGGGTCATTTAGACTCGACCAGAGTGGGGGGAACTAGATGATATGGGATATTATATGACTAAGGAATAGACCGGCCTACCGCATAGGTCGGGCAAGCTCGAAGTAGAGAAAACTGCATTGGTCGAAGGATGATCGACCAAAAGGGAGGAGATCGAGCAGAATAACGGAACTGGTCGAGGATCGACCTAGTGATGGGGGGCTCGACCAGATCGAGCACGCAGCAGGTGGAGAGCAGTCGAGAGCGTGGCTTGAACGCGAGAAGGCGCGTGGGTGGCGTTAGAAGATCCCAACGGCCTGCGCAGAAGAATAATCTCCCTCAGCTTAGAGGGACATGTGGCGAGAATACATTGGTGCAGAGCGATAGTGGCGATAGCCACCTCTGACATCTCTGACAACACGCACACTATGTGTGTACGGACGGGCAGTACGGGAACGACAGCTCACCAAAATTCGGGCAGCTCCTAGGGCAGGTATCTCACTACTATATATATGGGAGTGGGTCTTTTCTTGTGACTTACGATTTATCCATTCTTTACTTTGGAAAATTGAACAAACACACACTGACTTAAGCATCGGAGGCTCTTCACCGGAAAACCCCTCCGGTGTGAGAGTTCTGTGCATGTGCGTCGCGTTCTACCGGCGAGGAAGAGGAAGGCGAGTCGATTTCAAGCCGGTCGGAGTGTTTTGTGTTACCAGTCACGATATCCATTAACTGCATATCTAAATTCATAGTTACTACCAGAGATATCAAATAGCGGAACGTTATTCCATCCATTACAGGAGAATATGTTTGATCAAAATCAATACCGGGTCTCTGCGAAAATCCTTGAGCAACTAATCTCGCTTTGTATCTCACCACCTCATTATTTTTATTTCTCTTTCGTACGAACACCCATTTATATCCTACTGGGATAATATTTTGACGTGTACGCGCAATTGAGCCAAAAACTTTTCGTTTATTTAGCGAGTCTAGTTCGGCCTCAATTGCCTCCTTCCATCTTACCCAATCGGAGCGCTTCCGGCACTCTGTAATTGATTTAGGTTCTGGATCCAGATTATTAGAGATGGTAAAGGCAACTATAGAGGCAAATGTGTCGTCGACGACTATGTTACTTCTATTATAAGTTTCTCCTGTATCAACAAAATTCGTAGCTACTTCAATATTTACATCAACCAGATCTTCATCATTTCCCAATATATTATGATCTGGATGTTCCGCAATCCTAGTAGTTTTATTATTTGTTGCACGTGCATTTAAACTAGGATTTTCGCCTTCTGGACGATTCTCTTCTGGAGATTTCAGGGATGATTCAATATTTTTATTAAATTTTATTTTCCACGGATTATTATCTTTTGTACCAACGGGCCTCCCACGCTTCTGGCGTAGAGAATCTTCAGGAATATTAGATTTCTTGGGGACTTCTACTCGTTGTGGAGCATTTATCGAAGGTACATGAGATTTGGTCACCCTTTATGATCAGTAAATGCATCTGGCAGATTATTTGCTAAATATTGCAAATTAATTATATTTTGAACTTCAAGTTCAGTTTGATTAGTGCGTGGATCTAAATATTGTAGATTTGGTTCGTTCCAAGAAATTTCTCGGCATTTATTTAAGTTTGGGATTTTATCTCCCCCTAATGCCGGAAAATTCTCTTCGTCGAATATGCAGTCAGCGTACCGAGCTGTAAATTGATCCCCAGTCATGGGCTCTAGGTATTTTAGAATGGACGGAGATTCATAGCCAATATATATACCTAGCTTTCTATGAGGGCCCATAGAGGTACGCTGTGGTGGTGATATAGGAACATAGACTGCACAACCAAACACTCGCAGATGGGAAATTTTAGGTTCTTTACCACGCACCAGTTGTATAGGGGAGTAATCATGATATGCAGTTGGTCGGATTTGAATTAGGGCAGCAGCATGTAAAATTGCATGTCCCCAACATGAAATTGGTAAGTTGAAATTTTGTAACAATGGTCGAGCAATTAATTTGATGCGCTTAATGAGTGATTCAGCTAGACCATTTTTTGTGTGGACATAAGGTACCGAATGCTCCACTTTGATGCCCAATGACATACAATAATCATCAAAAGCTTTCGATGTAAATTCGCCGGCATTATCCATTCTAATGCTTTTAATTTGATAATCAGGAAATTGAGCTCTTAATTCAATAATTTTAGCAAGGAGCTTTGAAAATGCCTGATTTCTAGTGGATAATAAACACACATATGTCCATCGAGTGGAAGCATGTATCAAGACCATAAAATATCGAAAAGGTCCCGATTTGGAATGAATAGGACCACATATATCACCTTGAATCCTATGAAGAAACATAGGAGATTCAATTCCAACTTTAGTACGTGAAGGTTTTAATATCAATTTTCCCTTTGCACAAGCATCACAAATAAATTCTTTAAAAGAAGGGAGACTGCTGCTTGATACGGTATGCCCAATAGAGTTAGAAATAATCCGACACATCATACTAAGCCCAGGATGACCCAATCGCTCATGCCATAATTTAAATAAATTTGGGTCTTTAAATTTTAAGCTCAATGCAACATGATCAATAGAAGGTCGACTGTAAGTATAGTACAAGCCTGAGGAGAAAGAGGGAAGTTCTTCTACAATTTGCTTTTGACTGTCGTGTGAGGAAGTCATAAGAAGATACTCTATATTATTTTCAGTCTTAGTTTCAAGATGAAAACCATTTGATCGAATATCTTTAAAACTAAGGAGTGTTCTTTGTGATTCAGGGTACAAAATCGCATCGTTAATTAGTAATTCAGTACCCTTAGGAAGAGTAAGTAAAGCTCTGCCTGAGCCGACTATCATGATTTTATCATGAGCAATTGTAGAAACACTCCCTGTCTTTTCATTTAAAGTTTGAAAAAATTTCCTATCTTTCAAAATAGTGTGCGTAGTAGCACTGTCGACCAGACATAAAATGCCCTCTTTCCCCATTAGATGCAAACTAATGAATGGTTGTGGTACACTAAAAGAAAAGTAAATTATTATAAGCAAACATAACAATAGTCTCAATCAAATCATAGTATAATAAGCAAAAATGAACCACAAATTTTGGTGATATCAGACATCGTCAAATTCTACAATTTTATCAAAAACAATACATATCACCAAAAATATGAATTCATAAATGGTATATGAGTTTTATGCAAAGTTAATCTCATCTAGCACAATAGCTGTCAATTTGTTTCAACAAAATGAATAAGTAATTAAGATGATATGCACCAAAAAGCAAGTTACGAAATATTGCAGNAGACAATTGCCGCATTCACACCGAGAAGAGCACCAATTCACAATCTAATCAGACTAATGACCAAATTATCAAACATGTTCATGTAATGAGTTTTGAAGATAATGCATATTTGACCTATCCAGCCAAAAAGGAAAACTTAATCTCTATTTTACAAGAAAAAGCTTTATTCTCAATTCAGCTAATAAAGTAAAATTCAAATAATCTAATCTCTTGAACTTAGTGACAGAATACTTCCACCTTATTTTTGGTTTCACTTCAAATATGTGAAAACAAGATGATTTATTTTCAAAGACGGATTGGAAGTATCTATGGGGTCAAATCAGACTTTCATAGACGGATCAAGCATATCCACATAATCAATATATTGAAAACAGCTCACACAGGTAGCGTGCCAAAAGAAATCCCCCGATCTTAGTTTTGATATCAACTGACATAGAATTTGGTACGAATTAGGAAAATAAACGGATCTCAAAAATACCTTGCAGGAAAAAAACGATTTTTTCCTAGGACAACACCAATAACGAACTAGAGCATGCTGATAACGTATTGTAAATTGGGATCCTCAAGCATTCATCAATCCACACCAAATAAAGTAAAGAGAAACGAGCAAGAGAACAAGAGACAGAAGAGCAGAAAAGTATATCTTATATTCATCGTATATCATCCTTTTATAGGGTTTACAAGTGAGAAGCCTAAAACCTAATATTCCTAATTAATGGACTTCAGGCCCAATTGTATATTAGTAATGTCCACATTCATATATTTATAACAACAATTATTATTTTTTATTATATAATTGATGTAAATGTAATCCCAGTTCGATAGGAGTATTCAACACCAATCAAAATGTTAGGATTGAGAGTCGTATCCTTTATTTTAAGAAGAAACGTTGGATCCCACAATTTCTATAGTCGACTAATAAGTGAATAAACAATTTTGACGCTGGCAATGGCGGATGGAAGAGGAGAGAGTGCCGGAGGCTATACCGCCAGCCTGATCTTCGTGTACGGCACGCTCAAGCAAGGATTTGCCAACCACAAGCTGATGGAGGATCTGATCAGGACGCGCAACGCCGCCTATATCGGCCCCCACACCACCGTCAAATCATTCCCACTGGTGTGCGGTCCCCACGGCATCCCTTACCTGATCAACCTACCCGGATCTGGTCAACGCGTCCGTGGAGAGCTCTACTCCGTGTCTTCGGGCCCTGGCCTAGCCCGCCTCGACGAGCTGGAGGGGCTCGACTGGGGCCACTACCAAAGACTGCCGGTGACTACTGTGGAGTGCGGCGGCGAAGAGAGAGTGTCGGAGGCCGAGGCTTATTTTGCCCACAGTGGATTTGGGGAGAGGCTGTGGAAGAGGTGCGGTCAGGAGGGACTGAGTGAGTTCAGTGTGGAGATGGGGAAAAGGTATGTGAGGAGGGAAGATAGGCCGCCTCATTCTATTTTCCTTGAGGATATCAACAAATTCATTTCAGACTGCGATTCATCTTCTTTAGGTTAATACTGTGTTAGATATTTTTTCTCCATTCTGCCCATTTTATCTATGTATTTATCTTGTTTGGGTTATCTTCTTGATGCAATGTGATGGCAACAAATTGATTATCTTGGGATCTGTAGTTATAGGAATTCTGCAGCTTGATACAATTCTGGGTAACTAATGAAGCAATAGCTTCTTACAATTTTTAAAGTAGCAACAACTTTTGCTGTTTTCTTTCAGTTGTTCTCCAACATTTGGTTATGTTCTTTGTGTATATCTTTTATTATTGTCCATACTCCATAGATCTGGAACAAACAAACTTTCACAGATAAGCTAGTATATTGTATGTACCTCAATTTTCAACACGATTACATAATACAAGAAATTGTTCTAAGATCCATGATGAGCACTCATTTCATGGACTTCCCCATAACATATAGTATTTATTACAGTCACACTTTATTACAAAATGTAGCTCTTGTTGGGTGTGGCAGGTTTGATTTGCTTAAAAGGAAACGAGTGGAGTTGGTTAATCAACTCGAGTTCCTTAACGTGATTCGAGTCCTCCAAATATATTGAACTTGAATTACCATCCAGCCCTATGTGAGTCACATGTTTTACGTTTGTTGGGAACCCAATTTCAAAACCCAACTCTGGTTCTAGCTCATCCTTGTACACTGGAAAAATAATATAAAGTTTGGATAACAATGCATATGTAATATATGTTGTTTGCTTCATCTGGGTGTTGGTGTATATGAAGAGAGCAATGCACACACAAAGAGATTCAGAATTGTCCTGTGAAACAGGCTTGCATTATCTTGGAAAAAAAGAGAATGATCCAACCAGATACTTGATCAGTTGCGGAAAAAAGGATGAGAAGAATATATCATATCAGATAGCAACTGAATGCTTTCAGTAGACTTGTGATTCTCAGCCCATTTAGGGTCTCTTGACTATATACAGGTTGGGGGTCTTGCCTTAACCACCTACCCTTCCGGGGTTTTTTCAAAAAATAAAAAAATAAAAACTGATGAATTTTCTCTATATGAATATAGTATGGTATTATGCAAACAAAATGATTTTCCATTTGAAAATATCAGTAGTATTACTGGCTTACCAAATATCTGAGAGAAAGCCTTGAAATTCTTGAACAGCTTGAATCTTGGAAGGGCAGTTTTCACACTGTCACCCGATATGCTATCTTCATTATCTTCTTCTACATATTCACGTTCTACCTTATTTCCATCTTCAGCTGTTCTTTCACAGGCAAAACAAAAGTCGGCTTCAGCTAAAACTGAAAAAAGTAGTGAGTAAACAGAGCTCTTTGGATGAACGTTTGTACAATGTACAACGTGTTAAATGTTGAGAGAGAGAGGGAGAGAGAGAGAGAGAGAGAGAGAGAGAGAGAGAGAGAGAGAGGTGAATCTGTACGAGTGGAATTTGTATCCTGTTTCAATCTCTTGGTGTTCTGTATTGTAACTGGAATGCTCGATTCACAAATGCAACCTGCAGTGAAAGGTAGAGGAATGCATCTTTCCTTCATCTTGATGCTAGTGATCTGGTGGATTGGAGGAATGGGGTTGCTGCCATATATATATATGATATGTGATATGTGTAGGCTTTATCTTGAGTTATCATTATACAGACCTCTGGAGTCAATATTCACTTCAAGGTTTTTTAATTCACCCAAAAGGATACTATAAATTATTAGTTGAGTTTTATGTTTTCTGAATTTCCAATTTGATCAAATCAGGCTTTGATGTATACATTTGCAGTCTCTCTGTTTGTTAATTCTAAATTGCCTTTTACTTGCCTCTCTTCAAGCTGAAGCCAGCATTATTTTATTATTGTATACTATTTCTGCTTTCTGTTACCAATTACTGTAGGCAGTCACTAGTGAGATTTTCTCCAAGTGCCATTTTCTTTACTTTGCGTTGGTGTTCACTCATGGACTAGTCAGACGTTGAGACTCCACCAGGAACAAGTGTATTGCAAGCAAGCATTAGAAAATTCTTAGGTGGTGGGGACTAAATCTCACCAAAATTTCATTTACTAATTCAAGTGTTATCTTCAGTTCTAAGGTTCCAATATCACGTATTTGTGGTTGTTCTTGATTTTGCTTTAAGAGCAAAATTCATATCCACAAAAAATGTTGCTGGTCCTAAAATCTCCATAGCTTTTAGTAATTAATGGATGATAATTTAATTTGAATAACACACAACCAAGCGACACCAACAGATCTTCGATAAAACCCATCACTTCATCAACTGCATAATGAATCTAAAATTACACGACCTGTTCACGCTGAAATTTTAAACCTGAAAGATTCTTTCGAGCAATTGAAGACCCATTCAATTTCAGTCATGCTTACAGAAAGCAGAAAGTTGTTTCACTTATATTTCTTGTACAACAAACAAATTATATCCAAGACTGGGCGGGAAGCTTTTTAACATCCCGCTCCACCATCAAACGCCTAACTTTAACTGCTTCCTCCCATATATTATTTGCAGAATAAGTGTTCGATGCAAGAAGATACGAGGCGGAACCTTCCGGATCCAGTTCAAAAAGTTTCTTACTGACCGAATTCGCCAGCTCAGCATCCTTGTGAACCCAACAAGACGATAAATACGCTTTCCACACTTGTTTTACATGATGCATCTCATTCTCATACACAAAATCCTTAATCTCCTTCAAGTGGCCAGCTCGCCCCAAGATATCTACCATGCAAGCAAAATGCCGAACGCCAGGCTGGACCCCATAAACATCTGTCATCATCTTAAAATACCTGCAGCCATCTTCTACTAAACCCGAATGACTACAGGCTGTCAAAACCCCCACAAAGCTCACTTCATTCGGCCGAATTCCCTCTTCTTGCATCTGTTCAAATAGCTCAACTGCTTCTTTTCCCCAACCATGAACCCCATAACTCGTTATCATCACACTCCAAAGCACCACATTTCTAGTTCGAGCCTCCCGGAAAAACGACCAAGCCTCGTCCAAATTCCCGCATTTTGCGTACATGTCGATTAAAGACGAGCATAAGAAAACATCTTGCCCGTGTCCTAATTTAAGTGTTTGAGCATGAATTTGTCGGCCGAGCTCCAAAAGAGAAGCATTTGCAGAAGCAGCAGCAATGGTGGTGAGTGTGAAGGGTCCCACCTTGACTTTCTCGTGCATCATTGAACTAAAACATGCAAAGGCATCTTTTATCATGTCGTTCTGAATGTACCCAGCAATCATTGTACTCCAACAAGCGGTTTTTTCTGTTGACTCGTCAAGAGAATATCTCAGTTGCAAATTATGGAATATCACGGAAGCTTTCTCCATTTTCCCGCATTTACAGTGCATGTCGAGAAGTGCTGTGCTTATGAATGCGTCGTAATTTATCCCACTCCTGAGAAGCTTCCCGTGAATCTGCCTCCCCAAGTCGAAATTCTTTACTGAGGATGCTAAAGCTAAAGATATAGTGAATGTAACTCCATCAAAAGCACATCCAGATGAAATCATCTCGCGCAGAAGATCGAGAGCTTTTCCCACAAACCCTCTTCGCAAAAGTCCATCTATTATAGTATTCCAGCTAGAAACAGTCTTAGTTGGCAAACTCCAGAAGAAATCGAGACTTTCGCCCAGGTCACCCGAATTCAAGTTGGCTGCCATAGCTATGTTCCAAGAAGTGGAATCTTTATTAGCACCCATCATCTCAAAGAATCTCTTCACATAATTACAAGTCCCGAACTTGGCATAAAGATCAAGAACGGCGTTTTCCAGAGCCACGTCTGTTTGAATTCCGTTCCTGATTATCCAGCCATGAATGGCTTTCCCCATGGAAAGCCCGTTATTAATACAAGCACAACATTTTAGCGCGCTAGACAAAGTAAAGGCGTTGGGAGCAATTGTCCCCTCATTCTGCATTCTGGTAAAGTAATCCAAGGCATTCGAGTACTGCCCGTTTTTAGAGAAGCCTGAGACGAGAATCGTCCAAGTTCTAACATCTTTTTCGGGAATTTCATCGAACAGCTTCCGTGCTTTTTGCGAATGACAACATCTCATGTAATGAGTCAAGAGATAGTTAGCCACTTGTAGGAACCGAACAGATCCATTTTTAATGATGTTTGAATGATAAGTCTGAGGATTGCAAGAGGCAGGGAATGTGGAATAGCATACCAAGTTTTTGATCTTGCACCTGCTTGGTGCAAAAAGTAGTTTGACGGGCATATAGGTGGTGGATTTTGTTTCTATTGCTTAAACACGTATAGGGTGATTGTTCATGGATTCAAAAGTTTTTATTTGGTTTGTTTTTTAATTATAGTTAATTTTGAAAAAAGGTGGTATGGTTAGTTGTTAGTGTATATGTTAAAATATTATTTAAATAAATAAAGTTGATTTGTTGTAAATTAGGAGAAAAATGATTGGAAGTAATGGTTAGTTAAAATTATGTGAGTGGATGAATAGTGAATTAAAGTTGATAGGACGATGATTGGTTGATATTATGTAATTATATTGATAATATGGGAGATAGTGGAGTTGAGTTAAATTTGAGTTTTGATTGATTTTTTTACTGTTGAAACTATAAACAATCGGCCCCATAGTATTTATATTAGACACTTTTATACAGGACTAGTATGTGGCCCGTGCGATGGAAAAACAATATTACGATTCTATTATAAATTAAATATATAAATATCACCTATATATATTGAAAAAGGTTGATGTTAAATTCATTTTTAGAAACCTAAAATAATTGAGTCAAAACTTTGACTTGCTAATTGGGGAAGATGTTTAAAAATCAAGAATTTAATTGCTAACAAAATCATTTAAAAAACACGTGCAATCAATATTTTGAATCAATTGAGATTTTACCATCTAATTCATATCTTATTTTATTGCTAACAAAATCAGTTAATCTTAGGTATTTAATGTCAACACTTATTCCATTATTTTAGGGAAAAATATATTCAAATCAATTTAAAAATCATGTGCAACTCCTTNTTTTCTTTTTTTTGTATCATCGGTTAATTTTTTATGGTTAATGTCAAACAATATCCAATTATTTAGGAAATTTAAAATTCAAAACAGTTTTATGTCGTGATTTTCACTTAGTAATCCAGTTTTTGAATTCAAATTGATCCTCAATTCCGTCAAATTCGCTCTAAATGTAGTTTCCAAATACTATTGCATATTTAATTTATTCTCATAAGCAACAATGAAATTATTTTCTATTTTTCTTCAATTATATTTCAAAATACCATTGGTTTTATACTAGCAAAAGACTTCTTAAACAGGCGGCTATTCGAAAATCTATTATCAGAATATATCCTTGCATATCAGATTTCAATTAAGTAAAAAGATATATTATATTTTGGTGCAATTTTTATATGAATGCAAATATTTTTTTTTTCAAAATCTCAAAGTCACGCAACCGAACCACTTTTAAAATATCTTCTATGCTATGTCAGAATCTTTTTTTAAAAAGCACTGGTATTATCCATCGTTTTTAATTTTAAGAATCGTCTTCGTTGTTTCATCAGGATCTTCGTTTACTCTCCAAAATTCGCGGCTTACTCACTACTCAAGGTACATTTTCTCATTCAATCTTCACATATTCGTGTTCTTTTCATTTTTCAATACATTTCGTATGTTGTTTCTTATCCCCATTATTAATATCAAATGTTATTTAATTAATTAGGTTGATGGTAAGACAGATTTAAACCTCAAACTTTGTAATAAATTTAATGTGGTCAATGATTTAAACTAAATTTTGTTAAGAAATTATGACATGTCTTTTAACCATATGTTGGTGATAGAAATTACATTTACAACTTGGTTTGAGTATTTGTCATTATTTTTGTTTGTTTATTGATGTATTTCATATTTTTTTTTTTACCTCAAATGTTTGGGTTTGTATGGGTACATTCTGTTTTTGGGCTACGATTTTTATTTGCAGCAAAAGTATCATCAATACATAGGTAAACCTTCTTTGTTACACTCATGTTATAGGTATGTGTGTATATATATGTGTGTGTGTGTGTTTTGAAAAAATATCAGTCTAGATTTAAGTTTGAAAATAAGGTATACACCTGGTTTGCATTCCCTTTAGAGGAGCTTGATCTCGACGAAAACAATTTATGCTTCGTTCATACTATCGGCGAGGAATCCCTCTCCAACCATATATTCCGCATTCAACCATATATTCTGCATTCAGTTATTCATAAGATATTCATAAGATCGGAAAAGGATATTCGTACTATTTTTTATTATCTTCACCCAAATTATTTTTGCTCCATAAAAGGCCAGTAGTACTCATTCATTTTCATTTTCTTTTCACTTTTCACACATGTTTCTTTTTGTTTCATTTGTTAAGCTGACATAATGATGCTCATAGACGTAGTCTGTAGGAACAACTGGAAACGACTACAGTTGCGTGAACGACTTTCAGCGACGAGGAGTTTTGCAGACGAACAAAACTCTGAACAGAACACCGAACCTGGAATGATGCATGGTCGAAATTCAGAGTAAGGTCGTTTGTTTTCCTGATGCAGGGCTACTCGGCTTTTTTTGACCCCGAATTTACGGAGAACTGATGCACGATTGATGGCAATGCGACGTGTTTTTTGTCCATTTTTCCGACATAATCATCGGCAAGAGCTGACCGGCCGAATCAGTTTTAATGGCGAGAAATTACTGGGACATGGACTGAGCAAAGAGTCATGTCCTGCGACTCTTCAGCCGTTTGGAAATTGTCTAGGGAGAAATGAGTTTTAGTCACGGCTATTATATGTTGTTGTTTCGCATGTAAGTAATAGAAACAAGTCTAAAATATTAGTTTTTGGGGACAATAAGTTGCCAAGTAATCAAACTAATAATAATGTACAATGAGGTTCTTAATAATATATTATTTTTTCATGATGAATATTTTATGATTTGATAATTCACCTACATAATATCACTATTTTATTTATTAATACACTTCAAATTATAATATTCCCTAAAATAAATGCAGCCCGTGCATCGCACGGGTTACGTACTAGTTAATCATGATTTGACCATTGTTTTTAAATTAAATTGGGTTGGACACAGTCCGACCGGATGGACCGAGAACCGGTTTATAACCAGTCTAGTTCGCTTGAATAAAATATTTGTTGTCGAATCCGTCAACACCAGTCGGTTGGACTGGTATGAACGATACGATTTCCTAAATAAATTTTGTTACATTTAAAATTATTTTAAATAAAATTACATATTTAAATAAAATAGAGATTTATAAATTGTTTATCAATTAGTTTAAACACTTGAATTTATAAATTGTTTAGATATTTAAGTAACACATTTTATTTAATTTTATTACAAAAAGTACTATATATATATATATATATATTAAAATGTTTATAAATTAAAATCAAACAAACCACAAATGATTTAATAAAATAACTTGATCGTTGCGATGACGGTTCGGTTCTGAAAACCTTATATTTATTGTACATTAATAAAAATTATAATAAAATATTATTTTATTCACATAAATATTGATAAAATGATATATAAATATTCATAAATCATTTAACATAACGTCATAAAAGTATTGTTAATATGATTATTTGAAGTTTGGACTACATCACATTCATGTTATAAAGCATTTTCAATATTAAAATTTATGTTTAGGTTCAATATCGATTTGGTATGGTCAAACTGATACATAACTTAGTCATCTGGGACCAACCAAGTTGTGCCAAGTTTTTTGACTATTTCAAATATCATCCAAAAGTAATTCAATCAACCTGGGCAGTGCCCTAATTCAATCACTCGATTGATCCAAAGAAATTTTCTTATTTTCTTTAAATATATATAATTGTAGGAAATATAAATATTTTAGGATTTATATAATAAATTTCTATACCAAATGATAGTATATTAAGATTATAAATTATATATCTAAAGATAAATTAATTATTTTTAATTTGTGCATATTAATAAAAAATAAACATAGTAATTTTCAAAAAATTAAGATTAATTGATTGATTGTGCAATTTAAAGAATGTTTTAGCGTTCAATATTTTTATTTTGAAAGGCACAAATATAAAGACCGGGATTCTAAAACTTTTGTTATATTTTGAATTGAGATTTTATAAATATAGAGATCGAAATTTTAATGTTGTTCGTTGTTTATAAGAAAAAAAAAAATAAAAATGAAAGCATGCACACTTAATAGATCTTAGCCAGATTTTTTTAAATTAAACGAGCTTGGTTCAGCTCGGCTTGAGTTTGGCTCGTTAAGGCTCGAGTTAGAGGCCTTAACGAGCCGAACTCGAGCTCATTTAAAGCTCGTTTAGTTAATGAGCCGATAAGGCTGGAAAAGAAAATTTTTATATAATTTTTTATAGTTCGGCTCGTTAAATCTCGAGATCGACTCGTTAAGGCTCGAGCTCGAGGTCTTAACGAGCCGAGCTCGAGCTCAATTTTTGGCTCGTTTATAGTCCTAGCTAGAAACAAAGCTTTTTAAGAGACAATTTCTTTTACACTTCAATATATACATGATCTTTTTAGACATGGTCACGGGCTGGTCCGGACCGCTGGTTTAGCCCGAACCGGACCATAGTCAACGGTCCCGAAACTGAGGCTGTAGTTTGACCAGGCTAGTTCTGGGCCACCTATTTATAAATTTTAGAACCGGTGGGTCGGGCCATGGTTGGCCCGCCATATATTTCATTTTTCATTTTTTATTTTATTTATTTTTTAATTTTTGGGTCGGGTCGGGCCGGGCAAAACCCATTGGTTGGTAGTCGTTGGGTCGCCAATGGTCAATTTTTGAAATCTGACGGTTGGATCATCTTAACCGTTGAGATCCAACGATCAAGATCCAGCTGACTCGAACCCAGGGCGTCCCTTAATTTAAAAAAACATCAAATTTTTTTGAAACAATCTGAAAAAAATTCTGTAAATACCTCCCCAACCCCCCTCATATGATTTTTCATAAAATTTACAACATTCTTCTATTCTTCTCTACTAATTTCTAAGTTCTTTGAAGTGTTATTATTTGGATTTTGTGCTTGGTTTGCTATAAAATCAACCTGATTCTATATAACTTCGGTCCAGAACTCCTGATTTTATATATTCACTCTCATTCTGATTTTGATTCTATAAATTCTTTGCATAATACTCTCTCATTTCTAATGCTATCATTTTCACATCTCTTTTTTATTTTATAAAATCTATTCTTCAAGTTATAAAATGTGTAGTGCTCGCGGTGGTGGTTATGCCAATGATCGACAACCACAAAAGCATAAAAATGTTGGCAGATCTTCTTCGAGTAGACATCCATTGTCATCGCCAAGACAGACGGTATAGCGGCACATCTTCGGCCCGAGACAGTCCAACCCATCTTTCATTCTATTGAGGAAATCCACGAGAACTTACAGGTCAAGGAGAACGAGGAGAACAAGAGCAGTCCTATGAAGACGATTTCGATCGTACTCAAGGTGGAGAAGATGAACAACATCAATGAACTCGGACGGCCACCGGTGGGGGTCAAGGGTTGAAATCCGACATATTCAAACAACACTTCACGAAAGTGTCCAATTAGAAAAAATGTGACAAATATTTTATATGTATTTGCAACCATTATTGGTCCAACGCCAAGAAGAAGTACGTTTTCAAAACCGGCGATGGGCACGAAACGATGAAGCGGCACGTAGGGTCACATCATCCTGCCGAAATGGGGATTTCCACAACCCAAACGCAAATCCCGATCTCGGGCGCGAGTAGAAATGCGTCAACAAGTATGTCTTCTACTTTATTTCAATACTGTCGTGAAAACTATAGAAAAAAATAATTTAAATTTGTTTATGTTTTGTCTCTTCCTTTTTGTTTTGTTGATTATGATTTATATGAAAATTTTGCTCAAATGGATTTAAATCCGGTTGCTTCTCGGGTTCCACATACTACTTTCACTTGTGATTGTGATTGAGAAAAAATTAACTTTAGCGCAAACTTTTGAAGTTTTAAACCAAAGAATTTCTATTTTTGTGGCATTTTGTCCGACCAGAGGGAAGATAATTTTTACATAGGAATTACTTGTCATTAGATAGATGATAATTTTTCATTTAAAAAATGTTTAATTGCTTATACAGGATTTCCTCATGCTCATACTACTTTTAATATCACTCGTTTTATTTTACGTGTATTGAATAGTTATAGAATTGGTAAAAATACTTTTTTTTTTTTCGTTTCTTTTGATAATGCTAGTGGTGTCATGTCCTTAATCTTTGTGTTTAAGCGGATTATCATGCTTTGAAGTGTCGGTCACGCCATTAGCAATGTCGTTACTTATATCGTCTTCTGCAAGAAATAAAAAATTGGGGAAAGTTTTGTAGAGAAAATGGTTTTACACCTAAAAAAATTCCAACCGACGTTCCTACCCGTTGGAACTCAACTTATAAAATGTTAATGAAAACGTATGAATTTTCTCATCAAGTAGAGGAATTTTTTTATAGCTCTCAACATAAGGATTGTGATTCACTGTTGGTATCATTGATTGGTTAAATTGTCAAACACTTTTGAAATTTTTAGAAATATGTCAAAATGCTACTAACTTACTTTCTGGTGTTTACTATCCTACTGTTCAATTTGTTGTAAGTCAACATGTAGTCGTAATGTGGGGTTTTACAGATATTTTTGCTAGTGATCCTCACGACGAATTTGTAAGAGATATGTTAAGAAAGTAGTTAAAATATAAATTTTTTTATTCCCGATAAATTTTAGTTGCATCTTTATTAGATCCGTCATTACATAAAAATGGCTTGCTCAACCAACTTCACAGATATTATGATATTGCGTATCAACTCCCATTTCCCCTGGTGTCCCGACTATCAGTGTAAGACCTAACTCACAGTAGCTCGACGAACAAGCAAAACTTTTATTGCATGTCTTCCAAATTGGTAAGGTTCTAAAAGACAGTAAATCCTTCTACTAGTTATAATCTGGAAGACCTTTTATTTCTATTCCATATTTGAATAAATAATAAAACATTCCACTAGAGTAATATTATTGATATTCCCATTTAGCTCCAATTTACACAAAGTTTTGCCCCCTTAAAATTAATTAATTAATTTAATTGATCGATTTATCTCCCTATGTTTAAGATATAACGTCTATTGATTAATTTAATTACTGACAATTTAATTAATCAATTTCTTTTATTTATTATCTGAAATTAGTACCACTCAAATTTTAATATTATGTTAGTAAATTAATCCGCCTGCCGCGCTTAACATAAATCTTACTGAGCTCATTTCAGGGACATCATCAACTCAACGGACCGGGACATAGTGACCATAAACAATCTCAACAGCACATCATGCAAACAACACTATTTACTAAAATACCGAGTATGTCTTCCTAACTAAAATAGAAATCACTCTTAGTAAATCAAATAAATAAGTGATTAATACATATGCCAGTTTATTGTCTTACGGGTTAAGAAAACGCATCAATTACTGAGGTCTAGATTATTTACTTGGTCAGTATAAAATAATCTTATCCTACGTAGGTCTATTCAATACACATAATGAAGTAGTAGTGTAATTCATCAAACAAAGATCAATTGAATTAATATCATACTACAGCGTTTCACAACATATAGTTCAATTTTGTCTATACTGTGAATCAATTATTTATATTTTACTACGAACTAATAATATGATCTTTCTGTTCGACACATCAAACCACATTATCTACAATGTAAAATAAAGGAACTTATGTCCGCATAAATAAAGAAACTGCAAACACAAGTACTTCACTAAAACTCAATTCTCATTCAAAATTGTATTGTCAGAAATTGAAAGTCGAGCTTTTACAGTATACCCTAACAAGTTATTCCCATAATATATTAAATAATTTTTTTTTTCAAACAATCATTATTTATTTCATTTCATATTTTTCTTCCATAGTTACCATAACACTTTTTTTTTTTATTATTATTCTTCTGTTACATATCTTCACTTAAATCAATCTATTTTTTATTTCTCAATCTTTCTCTCAAATATCTACATATTACTCATTTGGAAGATGAAGTAATATGATATTATTTCTTTTAAAAACGATATAATTTAAAACTTAATTGGTACGCTGCCAATCTAATAAAATTAAATAATTTATTATCCTAATTCTAGAATTACATATAAAGTTGAAAAAAATAAAACATCCAAATTCTAAAATTATATACGGGTGTTTAACTATTATAATTATAAATATATAGTTTGACAATTTGATTAGAATAAAAATTATTTTAGTTTTAATAAAATTAATATTTTTTATATGTGCTTCTTAATTCAACACTCGTGTATATAACACATGGGTATTGGATTAGTAATCTAATAAAACAAACCAACCCAGTATCTTCGAAAACTATCAGTGCAACCTTCAGAGGTATTTAAAATTTGGGGGTAGTGCTGTTAAATTAAACGAGACTTGCTTGGCTCGGCTCGTTAAGACTCGAGTTCGGCTCGACTCGTTTGATAAACGAGCCAAGTTCAAGCTCATTTAAAACTCGTTCAATTAATGAGCCGAGCAAATAAGGCTCAAAAAGAGATTTTTTTTATAATTTTCTATAGTTCGACTCATTAAAACTCAAGATCGAGTCGTTAAGCCTCGAACTCGGCTCGTTATTTTAATAAACGAGTCGAGCTCGATCGAGCTTGATTTCAGGCTCATTTTCTTAACGAGCCGAACTCAGCTCGGCTCGACTCGTTTACACGTCTATTTGGAAGATACTTCCAATCAGGGTTATTTCCGAAGACTTCCGTGAATTCTTAAACATCACTTTCATAAATATACAATGATAGAGCTTCAAAATACTCAATCTGCTAGAGGTGGGCGCGGTTCGGGACGGTTCGGGATTTGACCTATCCCGGTACCTGACCCGGTTTTTTGAACCGATCAGGCAGTCCGGGACGAAACCCCGTCCCAAACGGATCGGTAACAATCGAGACCGGGACAAAACGGTTCGGGACTGGGACAAAACGGAAAAAAAAAAATGTTCAAACTTCTTCAAACTATCCAGTGTTTCACTTAAAAAAACTTTGATTCCATACCAACTAATTAAACTGCAATCAAGTATTCAAAATTGATCGTGAATGGGAATTGGGAATGAGAATAATGTTATGTTGTTCCCGTAAATACGTTATTATGTTTAATTTTTTCATTTTTTGGGCCAACTGTATTGGGCTTTCATTAATAAAGCCTGTTAGGAGTTAAGACAATAAAACTGAATGAAACAGATGTTAGAAACACCAACTACAAGTGCCATTTTTTTTTGTACAATATAATACTAACATAAATATAAATAATGTATATTATGTATATATATAATATTTTTGTATCGGTTCGGGAAAAAAAATAAAAAATGGATACCGACATTGTTTCAACTAGTTCGGTATCGGGAACGGTTCGAAAATTTAAAAACCAATTTGGAACCCTATTTTTCGGAATAGGACCATTTCGGTCCGGTTCGAGATCAAAAAAATCCGGTTTTTTTTGCTCACCCCTACAATCTGCATGTTGTGTAGTGTCAAATAAAAATCTAAAATAAAGAAACAGTGTTTCCAATAGTCTTTTTCTTCACATAAATTTTTGTGTTGTTATAGATTAGAACTAGTATTTGATCCTGTGCATTTGCACAGATATAAACACGTTTTTGTTTGTATTTATTAATTAGACATGTACTTCTATCATATAAAAATTATTTTTTTTTCTTAAGTTATTTTTATCATTTAAAATTAATTGAGATTTAAATTTTATTTTGACCATGCAACATTTACATTAGTAACATAAATAAAATAATTCATATATTTGCGGCATATATTACGAAAATTAACATAAATATAAAAAAAAATTATTGGTGTTTCTGATTTTTAGAGAAAAAAAAAATGTGTCAATCATATTTTTCTTCCAACAATGCAATTAAATGTAGTGGTTACAGCTCTGAATCTGTCAATCAACTTTAAATTCCAACATAGCCGTTACACATTTGAATATTTTGCTACCAAATTTAGAATTAATTTAGTAACTGATCCAAAAAATAAATAATAAAAATATATATATTAAGGTGTAACGATTTTAGCAGATTAGTGAGTAATTAATTAAAAAAAATGTAATTCTTTTTGGAGAGAAATGAAAATATATTTTATTAAATGTTTTATTAAATGAATCAGCTAGTAATTATATATATAGATAATATGAAATCTTAATTATGATTGTTCCAAGCAATTTCAATTAAATATTAATATATGAAAAAAAGGAAGGGAAGAAAACAACGAATATTGGAATATATGGCCCTTTAAGCAACCTTTGTTCCAAGCCATTCTAGTTAAAACTCCCTCTCCTTTTCTTTTTTCCACAATGCAGAAAGGAGTCTCACATCACAATTGTTCCATCTTAAACCTGTTCCTATTCATTTACTCTGCTTCTTTTCTTTTTCTCCTCATATAAAAAACCTGAAAATAAAAACCAAAAAAAAAATAAAAAAAAATGGCGATAACGCATGCCGATCTTGCTCCAAGACCGAAAGGCGGCTATCTTGGCAGCAAAACTGGTGCATTTGTCATGGTTTTGACCGTAGTTCTTGGCCTTTTTTATTTCTATCTCTGTCTGCTGGCTGACGCTACACGATCCGAGGTAAAAAAAAAAGACTAATTAAATAAGTAAATAGCTATATCTAATTTTTAATTAAAATTCGGATACTACCTCATCTTCCAAACGATCTGGTCATATTTTGCACGCCAAAAAACCGCAGCCGGGACATCAATAACCGACCGTAGGGGTAGTTTAGTAATTTAACACAATTCCACACGTTTATTTCAAAATTTGTTAATATGTGATCAAATAAAATTACTCCTTCATATTATTATACAAGTATATATGGTTTTGGTATGTATTGTGCAGGTGAATTGGATGGCGACAAATGAAGGAAAAGGAATAGAATCTGAGTGCACGTACACCGGCAGCGGCAGATCACCTCTTTTGTCGGCTTCTGCAGCATTTTTGTGTCTGGCGATAGCAATGATGGTGCATCACATGTACTTATTGGTTGCAGTTAGCAAGTCGGATGCGCTGGTTGATGCCACGTCAGACCCAGATTCGTCTTTTGCCAGCTCTCTCGCCTGCCAAGCCGGATTTTTTTCGTGTCTACATGGTATGCGATATATTTTATTTTTTTATTTAATGTTGCATAATATTATGAAAGAAAGCATAGCTTTCTTATATTTTTTAGTCATTTTATTAATATTAATATATACAAATATGACCACACTGCATCTATCTTCGTTTGTATAACTATTGGTGCACTAGAGCATTCACATCTCTGTTTATTAATTTAAATATAAATCATTCTATGACATCATCTCTACATGAGCATTTCACTAGAGCGTCTCTTCATATAACTACATTCACACATTTGTTAGTACATTTAAATACCAACTTATTTATAATATTGGCCCCACTAATTGTATCATTAAATTGTCATTAAGGCCATTGAATTGCTGTGGGTCCACCATTTTTTCATTTAAATGATTGTTGCATTGGTACTAATGGTGGCCACGTCATTTAAATGGCAGATGCTCTGTGAATTGCTTTTATCAAAATCTTGACTCAAAAACAAATGATTCTTTGTGGAATAATTAACGAAGTTTTTAAGGACTAAAGATATATTTTTCATGGATCCAAGATCATTTACCAGCCGCGGGTACATTTTATTGTTTAAAATTCAAACATCTTAATTAATTAATATACTCCTATGTATCTTTTGTTGTGTCTCCCCAAATCTATGATTTTCAGGATATCATTCGCGGTTGCAGAGATCCTGATGCTCATTGGGCTGAGCATTGAATCGGGCCACCTCACCAATTGGGCCACGCCCCGGCCCAGCTGCCTAGCAAACAAACCGGGCCTGTTCACGGCTGGCGGAGTTTCGGGCCTGGTGACCGTTTTTCTCGCCTCGGGCCTCTACATAACTGCTCTGCGAGTGGAAATGCGTTTTGAAGCGCGAGAAAATAGGAGACGCGAGATATTGCATATTGGAGGCAAGTGCCACGTATGCGACCCCACCAGGAACGCCAGCTGGAGTCAACCCTTTGACCAGACAAGAATATCGGAATAATAATTTGGATGGGTTGCGATATTACTTGACGGTACTTGACAAACCCAATTCGAATATAGTATGAATTAAGGGGCTCAAACGAAAAAGTAGATAATTTATTTTGTGAATTGAGGGTACAAGTACTTGAGCAAAGATCATACAATTGGGCAGAAGTTTGACGAGCTTCATTGTTGGCCAAGCTTTGTATAGATTTTCCTTTCTCAATCGCTATTCACCGCCCTCCTATTACTACTCACCGCCCCCTCATTGGACAATTTTGCCCCTTGCATTTTTTTCAAAAAGTAAAAAGAAAAAAAAAAACCTGTCCGGCCGGCAAAACCGGACGGCTTTTAGCCCGTCCGGCCGCCGGAACCGGACGGTTTTTAGCCCGTCCGGTCGGCCGGTTCGGACGGCATAAAAGCCGTCCGGTTTCGGCGGCCGGACGGGCTAAAAGCTGTCCGGTTTCGCCGGCCGGACGGTTTTTTTTTTTT